CACTAATTTTGAGGTTTTGTGTGTCACTACATTTACCTGTCGGCAAATTAGACGAATAAACCACCTGATCGAAGTCCATGGCTCGGAACATCGTCAGAGCTGTGTTAAGTCTAATCAGTCACAATCATGGTCCATCTGCTTATAATGTTGGTCTCACCAACGCATCGTCTTCCACCTCCATCGTCTACCACGCTGAATTTGGCGAAAGCCTGTGCGTGACGAATGCTGGACTCGGTTTGGTCCACCGGAAAACACAAGCAGGGGATCGCAAGCATTCCAATGGACTCATATAAGAACTTTTTTCCTCGTCTTCCTGGAGGTAACCCGGTTCTTTTGGAAACCAGTTAGAAGATAGAAAGCAATGAATAACCTTTTAGTATATATGTCCCAAGTGCTTGTGGTTACACCCTGGCATCATTCGTGCTTCAAGGGTCTATGTTCACGGATCTCAGGTTTTCTTATTTCACCATACTGAGGAAATCGGTTGTCACTAGACGACGTCAATGATGAGATAAAAGAGTATATATGTGTGAAACATCCTACAGGTCGACGTTCTTAACCGTGTTAAACCTTTTCCTCTAATATCAATTAATTCAAGTTAAGTAAAGAAAAGCTTTATGCACCAGGAAGGAGTTGATGTTTGGAGCGAGTTTGGGGATTTGACAATGCTTTTGCGATATCTTTTTCATTCATCATTTTCAAAAGCCCTCAGAAACACAGACATGCAAAAAATTGGACGGTGCTTTGACGATCCTTTCTTTGAGGCTGGTCTGATCCGGGCTGACCTCCAACAATCGGGGCTCTTTTCGGATGACAAACAACTACTGAACATTTCAGCAACGGGTGTTGCAAGCTGGTTGGCGCACGTCTTCAAGAAATAAGGTGATGAGTTTCCTCAAAAATTGCAGAACCTCGTCTGGAGAAACAGGGTTCATTGCCTCATGGATAGGGAAAGGGGGTGCGAGAGGACCAGAGGCAGGTATAGAAGCAAATTGACGGCTAAGTATGTCAACGTTGGGACAAGGACTGATGCTTGAGCCACAGAGTTTCCGCAAGATAGTCCACATCGCAAGACAGCTTTTATTGCCCAAAACAGTCTGAACGTACATCCCATCCAGGCGTCTTACTTCAGTTCTAATCAGCATAGAGAGCTCTTTGACATTATTACGACTGCCGGTCATGTGAGCTGTCTCTTTAATGCGAGTCACTTAAATAGGGGTGAGGAAAACCTATCGGTTCGAATATAAATAATTTTAAAAGGGCAACACTGGTCATAGCAGCAATTAGGATACTCATTCAGATGTTCGCAAAACAAAAACGGCTGATTGTTGGAGAACACAGAAGAGCCATTACAAGAAACTAAGTCCCGAACAAGTTCTCCCTAGAACAATTTCTTTTCTGTATAGTACGTGAGGCAGGTCAGGTATAAAGGCAGTGATTAGTTTTACATTATATCTTGGGGTAAAGAAGAATGATTCACTGGTCAGAAGTGCTGATTGAGGCTCGTTGAAGAACGCGAAACATGTTGGAACTATTTATACAAATGCCATCAAGAAAGGCATCTGTACGGATTGGAAAATTGAGAAGGATCTCTAAGCTTACAGTAGTTAGAAAGGAGGTATCAAAACGATTTAAGTTTCCAAAGGTACACAAACAGTGGTCAATACATGTGGCGAATTGTGTTACTATAGTATCAGCAAATCATGACACGCCAGGGGCGAGTTTATCAGAGGCAAAGTATATAGTCACCGGGTAAATAAATCGAAAAATGTTGAGAAAGCGCGGCTTGCAGTGAACAAAAGTACGATTAATTTTACCTGTTGAGTAGGAAAAAATCAAATACCAATTTCGATTGATCACTGCACCACCTCTATTGCGAAAGTTCACAATCCGGTCGATCCTCAAAATGGCAAAGCTATCTAAACCCATTACATCATCCTCAATATCTGGACGTAACCAGGTTTCCCGGAGTAAAATGACTCCTTCGCTTTTACATTGTTTCGGATGCACCAGATTCTGGACGTCATTGAATTTTCCCACAAGTGGACGTATGTTACTCGAAAAAATAGACGGAATCACTATTCTGTTTATAGGCCTTTGCCTGAGAGCAACCCCCCCGGCCAGCGCAATGCTTGTTACGGCGATCTTGACGTTTATTTCTTATTCGTTTGTAGCGAATCCTCACGGAATGAACGAACGCTGAAATTCCGACGTCATTCGCGAAAACAGAGGGATTTCATTATATGGGAGTTATAGGTTAGTATTTGAACTTGAGAAATTGATGAATTGGTGTAAACGCGCATAGTCAAGTGTATCCACTGCAAAAAACGTAAACAGTTGTCCAATTTCGAAAAGCACGGTCGAAACTCAAAGGCCCCGCCATCAGAGAAAAAGGGTAAACTTTCGCCCACAACCCTGTCACAGCAACATCAAAATGCCACCAAGATAGAAAAAGCAAACGGTTGATGTGAGATAGTGACTGTACTCAATCGGAGGAATAACAAACGGGGGATGAGTGGAAGGTGAGGTGACAGGCTAAACAAGTCAGGGGTAACAGTTATTACAACCAGCCATTGCAATTAGGGGTAGGGGTGGGGGTGGCACAGATACGCATTTCAAACAGTTGGAGCGGTTTTATTTGGTTTAATAACAATGAGAGGTACAATGATTCTAGTTATCTGGTCCTCAAAAATCCACAGAGGGAGAAGGATCGTGGGGATTGTACTAAGTGATAAAGTCGTTCATTGTTTCTTTTATTGATTTATATTCTACCGCTCTTTGGTTACAGTTTTTATGAGAGTTGTTTTCAATAATTAAATTTTTGAAAAAAAGATTTTTCAGGGATTCTTCTCCATTGACGTCTGGAAATTATGAATTGGTCCTGGGGGACTTTGACATCTTTTTCTTTCATTTTCTCTCACTATTAACCTGCCCTCTTTGTTTATTAAGGAGTTTCACAAGCAGGTTTAGGAAACTGGATGAAGAACTATCAAGAGACCACTGGAATGCACAAAAAGTTGAACAAAGTCCACTGATAGTCTCCCAATGATTGTTGTTCAAAGTCAGAGACATAGACTAATATGAATAGAATTTCATGGACCTCCATCCTCATGAGGAATAGTTGATCCTTTGGATGCAATCACTTTAACTGTATGTTCAAATGTTATTACTGTACACACAGGGCTTGTTATCCACTGTGGACTGAATAAGAGGCTTATGCATTTTGAACAGTGGTCTACAGTGTGTCTGAAAATGAACTCCCGAAATCGACACAATCGATCAGCTGATCGAAAGCATTCTGCGCACATTTATGCGAAAAACAGGCCGAGACCAGTCGAGTGAATTGCAATCACATTACTATAGTATGTATGCCAACTGGCCGCAGTCGTGATCACCGGTATGGGGCCACTGATCCATCCGGTTCTCTCAGGCCGATTTGCCCACAAATCACGGGAAGAGGGCTATGCAAATCCCCTTGGCCAGTTCTGGTCCTGGCTGAATCGTTGTCCGGACATCATAACCAGAATTTAGGCGCAACAGAAACGCTTGAAACCAAGTGTTTCCAGCGTGTGTGAAACTTGATTTCCGTTCCCTATTGTGTGCCCCGGGGAATGAGGGGAATGGGAGCCAAATCATGCACCATCGATGATTCATGATCTACGGGGCTAAATGTGAGACAATCGTTTTCATTCTCAGATGGAAATCAAGCCCCACCACCAGACCATCAGAATCAAACGAGGTTGTTCTTGTGGATGTTATCAAAGCGAGCAGATGATTAGCTGTTTGCCGACACGGCTGGGGAAATCTGCAACCATACTCGCTTGATTGATGACTGAGGCTCCCGGAACGTTAGGTTATTCACAACCCAGTAATGATTTTTCTCCACAATATGGAGGTAATGTCACATGCTCATTACAGTACAGAAAAGTGAAACGGAGTTTAATTTATATAGTTTTAGTGAACTGCTTTAACTGAGCTCACCCGCCTGACCACAGAACATTTCACCACTGGCACTGACATAGATGCACAAACTTGGATGCACGGATAGGAGAGAGACTGTGTTCGTTTGTACTTGTGCACGAGAGGTAGGTTTAACATCCTGTCTTATTGACCTGTAATTTTTAACTACAAGAGTTTTCAAGCTAAAAGTATGACTAGAGCGTTTTGAGAATATGATTATTTTGGTGTCTCAGAGATACTGCTACCCCAATATATGTACTATTATCATGGTGATAAAAACGAAGACTAACAGTGCTCACTATTAGCGCAGAGCAGGTTCTGAAAATCATCTATGCTTGTGCGTATCCAGTTACGTAACATAGCGAACTGATGAAAATGCGAACAAATAAGTCTTCTCGTTTTCAAAACAGAGGTGTGGCGTATTACCGTGGTGGATATTTTCATTTCTGTGTGTACCCGGGACAGTGAGAACAGAGAGGCACACAGGGAAGCTTATTTGGGCCCAATCACAACGCTTTGTTTTCCACTGAGATTAGAATCTCTCAAATGCATTCAAGTTAGCGCCAACGACCACAGAATACGCATCGTGTTTATCTGTTTGAGTCCCCGACAAACTGTCACGTTTGTGAAATCCCATAACTGGAATCCCTTACCCACACTCCCTCTCACACACACACGCACACACCGGGAATACAATGACAATATGGAGGAATGAATAGATACCCACATGTATGCACATGTGCACACATGCGTGAGCCCATGCAACGCGCATGTTCAAGCAGGTAAACTTGGCAACCATTCAAGGTCAGACATTGCTAGCCAATCTTCAGTTTGTCTGCTCATCTTCAGCTACTCGGCCAAAACTTCCTTGAATATAATGGCCAATATAAATCACACACATCCTATGCCTTGTTTTTCATATCAGTTACCGGTAAATAGAAGTGGGCGAACCTTGATCAATTCACTTTCATGTTTTGAATGTTACACACAAAAAGATTTCCCTCGTCTATGGTGACCACATTTTTCAGTTGCCCGCAAAGATGAGTAAAGCAGTTTTTACAACATTAATTGTGTTCGGCAAGTTATTCTGTTTTTTTCATCAGGCTGTAATCGTCAAATGTGAAAATAACGAAACCACTGGTCTCAGCCCGGTGGCCCAGGGTGCATTGATGGGAGTCGGATTGTTTATTGGACTGTTCGGTTTGATTCTATTCCTCGTATGTTGCTGTTGCACGCCGGAAAGTTCGACCCGCTCCCTGTCTTCATCACGCAAAGACAAAACAACCCAGTCCGGTGGGCCGGAATGTTCCAGTGAAACAACCATTGAGTGTGTCACCCCAGTCGGTCCGCCGCCGCCACCGCCACCACCACAAGTAGCCGGTGAGTCCGCAGTGTCGAACAAACGAGATTTAGCCTGGTATTCCAATTCTGGACAGCCTTTACCAGCCTATGCCAAGCCAGCTACAAATGGGCACGGTTGAAGAACAAGTGCTCATTTCCGTTGGAATGTCTCAAACACCAAATGACCTTGTGGATCAACTTCACGACTTCTTGCTTTCAAGAATTCTCTGTTCCATCCACCCTGGTTAATCCTAGACAGTTGGAATGACACATCATGTCAGGAATACTCAACCTGACCGCTGAATATCATATACTCTCATCCCTCTCATCAAACGACTTGGACTTAAACCGGTTCTGTGGGTAAAACGAGAAGGACGACAAAAAGGCTGCATTTCTACTCACACTATTTTTCATCAGTTTTGTGGATTTTACATAACAAGACCTCGGGTGACTCGATGCGTTTTCATTGTTTGCCTTGATGCCATTCAACAGTCGTTGTTGACTTTCTTTTTTGCATCAATCTTTTCGTCATTCTTCCGCAAAAATTTCCTGTTGGTGAGTATAACATGGATAACTGACACGACCTTGTTGTGCACTGTTTGCTTTTGAAATGTCAATGAAAAACAACTCACAAAAATCAGTGAATTTGATTTTTTCTCCGATACCCAGTACTCGTGGATCGAGGACTGTTTGGCTCGTGGAACTCTAGTTATTTAGTGTGATGCATAAAAAATTAGGAAAAATGTAACATTTTGAATAGGCAAGAAAATTTGAAATGATTTTTTCAATTGTTCTTTGAAAAATATACTCTTGTTCGAAATAGAAAAACAATTGCTTTAGAACAGCTGGTGTTCTATTCAAATCTTAAAAATGTATTCTACATTAGGCAATGAAGATCCGATTTGAAATTCAAGGAGCCATAGTTCCCATAATCTTTTCTGTCTTGGTCTTCGTCATCTCTGATACGGATTTATTGATCTATGTAACAAAGAATCCCCAAAAGCGTTACCCGCGTGTTTGCCGGGAGGCTCAAAAAACCTGCCGACTACGCTCATGTGGAATGCCAGAGCACAATTCTAATCTGAGCCAATTCTGATGTGGCAGAAAAGAAACCCGATAGCAGCGAGAATATCATTTTTGCCTTATTAAATATAACACAACTGCGCTCTCTTTATTCGAGGAGGCCGCGGTCAGCAAGAATCGGGGGACTTCGGCGAGGGTTCAGCACTGAAACTATGGACTAATGTCCTGATGGTCTAGACCACCCAATCACCTTCGTTTAAAGGAATATACACGCTGATCTCGCAATAATGTTCATTACAATTTTTGTCAAGGTTCAGTTCAGTCATGGGGCAAACTCCTAATACGGAAACAATGCCGTTGATTTCGTATAAATTCATTGTATTCCAACACCATATAGATTAAACGTGAAAAACTTTACGTCACAAATATTCATGGTAATGTTCATTCGAAGTTACTGTGATGCATTTGGGTATAAAAGGGTTGATGAATTAGAAATTTGTTGAGCAATAAATGCGCACAGGTTGCACCTCTATTATTGGTGACCTAAGGCAAACTGCCGGCCCCAACACGGGTAAACTGTCCAGCGGCTTTCTGTAGAGTTAAACCTGCATGAAAAACATGTGTTATCTATCTGTCAACGGTATAATTTAAAAAGTTCAGTGCCACATCGAAGAAAATGACACGCGTATGGGTTACATAGACCGAAGTGTCTCATCCGAAAACAGACGAATCATAACTTTGTCAGGCATATGGGATAACTGACCGAACAGTTTGACGGCAGATGTGCACTTTGCTAGTTGCAATTTTTAACACAATAGTCCGCTCCAAGAGGTCTGGTTCATTTTCTTTTGCTGTTGTGAGAAACTATCCTTTTGCTCAAACCAAACATATTACCCACTAATGTGAGTAGTGAGTTAGAACAGTAGCATTTGGCGGGATTTCTAAACCACGTTCGTTAAACTGTCACCTTTTGTGGAATTCAGTAGATTATTCTGTCAGTTAAATTGAAACCATACAGTTGTCCATGTACTTCAAATATGTACATCAACTTTACATGAACTACAATAAATCTGATCGNTGAACTACAATAAATCTGATCGACCAAACCTTTACATGATGCAGCGCCTAGATATGTAAAGCGTTACTTTTTAAAAATTTATACATTGGAGACCAATCTCACTCGCCTTTGTTTTGCCATAAGTATCTGCAGGATCTCTCTTTCATTTTTTATAGCGCGGATAAATGCAAACTAGATAGCATCTCTTTACTTGAACAATTTATTTATCAAGTTTTCAATGTCTCTCAGAATTTCGTTTCAATGCTCTTCTTTGAGTGTCCTACATTTTCGGATTCCGGTTTGAAGATTTGCAGGTCTTTTGGGTGTGCTCTAGAGTTTTGTCTGGGTTGAATTAACAGTTAGTAGAAGGGTTTCAGAAAAACCAAAGAAAGCCACTCCCGTAGAAGTATTGGCCGGTAATTCCGAGATCATCAGCAGCAGCAGCAGCATCATCATGATACTGTGTAAAATAGTGAAGCGCACTTGACTGATCGTTGCCAAACTCATATTGTGTACAAAGTAGGTGAGAATGTTTAATGAGGACAAGGATTGGGTCTACTTTTATGGCCGGGAATAGAAGCGAACCTCTATGGCCAACACACAGAGTACACAGTCCAGCTGTGCATACATACGATTTCAAGCATTCTGGTCTGATAAGAAGTGACAGCATGATCGCCATTATTGTCGGTTCTCAGCCACGACCTTCAGTGTCTCCAACCATGCGGTTACGGAGTCTTTTGGATCCCAACCCGGAAGACGAGAGACACCTACTCTACCAAACCGCTCTGTGCGTTTCTTCATGCCTAGTCTCCACGTCACCTGCTGGCCTCCACGTGGCTTCCTCCAGTCTGCAACAGCCACTGCAAATAAGGTAAGCTGTGGTAGGTGACCATCGGACGTATGCGAAATGTGTCCTAAACAAAAACGTCTATTGAGCTGGATTCGATGAGCTAGCGATTTCTTTTTCGCTGCAGTCCCAAATACCCGACGACTTACTTCTCAGTTACTAACCCGCTCACTCCATCCCACCTGGGCCGGATTAATTAAACATTTATCGATTGTCGAGATTCTGAGACTCTTCAAGTTACGTTGCTCTCACAATGAGCTATCCTGTGTAATCTCTACCGGGGCCCTCAAGTATGACGTAATGACGTAGTTCAATATCAGAATAGTTCATAATCTAGCAGTTTGCATAAATATTTGGCTATCATTTCTGTCGATACATCTACAAATTTCTAAATGTTTTCAATGCGTTTACTGCTCCTCACAATCAGCCACCTATCAGAACCCTAATTCATTGTTTTTCATCCTATTTAACTAGAATACACACTAATGAATAAACGGGAAGCAGCACTGACAACAGCTACCGTTGATCTTCTCCATCATACATTATCTTCTATAAAATACGCCGTTTATTTTCCATATTTGCCAGTGTGAAAGTATGAGTATGAACTTCAACCCTTTGTCCTTTGCCCGGTCGTTGCATTTTGTTAGCACACTGCACTACTTGCATGAATCACGAGAAATTATTCCCAGTACACTTCGAAAGGGAGTTCCGTTGACAGTAACGTCAACGACCCCAAGTATCCGGTTAGCTCAGAATGTTTGATGTTCCCGTGTCATGCACAGATTTATCGTTAACATTAATTATCGTTTGCATTAATTTAAATGTTTGTTAAATTTCAAATTTCTCCAACTGGACTCACGTTCTTACTTGAGAAGACCGGGATCCGGATGATTTTCTTAGTAACCCAACACGAATGATCTTAAATTTTCTTTATCTTTAAGCCACAAATCTGACCTTTTTCTCAGTTTAAATGTAACTATCTTCCGTTTCTATTTAAATTCAAGTTAAGACAGAATTTCTTATTCGTGAATAGCTCACATCTGTTATATCAAAAGGACATCTTTAATCACATTCCACTTTATCATACTTCAAATTCAAATTTTTATTATGGAAAAACACTTAAAAAGACTTCGCTTATCAAATCCCATAGGGTGTTTACACTTTGGTTCGGAACACGATTCACAAAATCATAGTTAGCACATGAAAGTAAAATAGTAATTTAATTTTTTTGACTAGCACAGGAGATTATATTATGTAGTTGGGAGGTGAAACATGATGTTTGCCAGAGCATCATCAAGT